ACCAGAAGACTTTCAGAGGCTCTCTTGTTTTTGTAACTTATGAATTCATAACCTGGAGCTATGATCATGCTGTCCTTTTTGGCTAAATAAGAGTCCTCAAAACTATTTGCAGGAGGAGCTGAATCTTTTGTACTACTTCTGCAGTAACACAGGGTCCAGGTATTGAAAGAAATCTTTTATATAATTCAAATACAAAGATATTTATCTTCTTTTTTGAGCACTTTGTCAAAGCACTTCTAGCTAAAATGAGCAGGAGAGTCTTCTGCTTAAATTGTGATTTTTTTTTTTGAGCTAATTAATTAGTGGAAGACTTCAGGGAAAAAAAGCTAATGAACCTCTAAATATGCTGATGACACTGATGCTTTTGTTGCTTATTTAGTCCTTTGGACTTAAACAAGTTATGATCATTTTGTTCTTTAGAGCTTTTTGGCATGGTTTCATTTTTAGCAGGCTTGTAGTTTGATGTTTTATGACTCACCTTGAATGTTTTGCCAAAAAATTGTTATAAAATTAACTTAAGGGAAGGAACAGAAGAAGAGGTGTGAGTGTATATATAGAACAGTATCTGGGTCATGGCTTTAAGGAAGTGAATTTTTTTTCCCCCCAACTCCTCTGTGCCTTTTTGCCCCCCCCCCCCCCCTCCCCAAGTTAGTGGCAGTGTTTACCTTTGCTTGCAGAAGACAATTGCCTTCAATCAGGAAGACTAACCCTCCTGCAGGTGTCACCTCAGTTTCCTGGCTGGTTCCTTGCAGTGACCTCTACTCAGATGTGCAATGAAAGAAATTGCAAGCAGCATAAAAATGTAACTTTCTGCTTAACATAATTTCCTAGATGAAGCACTTTGACCTTTTCTGTCCTTATAAGGTAGTCTGAAGCACCTGTAGTTACTACAGATTTTAGTCTAATGCTTCCTCTTATAGTGTCTTCTCTTGCTATGTTCCTGCAATTGAAGGTGGGGAATTGAAGGAGGGGGGGAGGGGGAGGAGGAAGGGAAATCCACCACTTCTTGCTAATAGAAGTGAAGAGGCAAAAGAAAATTCACAGTTTTAGGGTGAGTTTACTAGGTTTACAGCTGAGTTTAAGATGTGTTTCTAATAGTGTTGGGCAAGACTTACTTGGAGGCATCTTCCAGGGTTAGTTTTATGTGCAGTGAGGAATGTATGTCTAAAAGGCCCCCACCACGCCCCCAGATGGCTGGTAAGGATGACTTATCCCTTAGTGTATTCTACAGGATACATTTGTTTAGTTCTGAGGGCATGGATGGGAATGGCTTGCTTTTGGGAGGTGAAAATTAACGTACTTTAAATTTTTTTTTCTATCAGCTCGTACAGAAAGTTAAACACAAGAATGCATGTTAGAAAATTAGGGAGAACTGGAGTAGGAAAATGAGGCCTATGTTCTTTGTATCTGTGATGTTTCAGGGAAGATAGGACTTCTGCTATGGTTTTTTTGTTTAATTTCCTCAAAAATTTTTTTCTTAATTGTACTGAAGCTAGCTTGAAAAGCCTTTTTTGAGAGAGTTATTAATGGGATATAATGACTTTCTCTTTACCCCAAATAGTTTGGTTTGGGAGTAAAGGCATACATTTTGTTACAGTTTTCAGTTGTACGTTTTCTTAAACTCTTCAGCCATTCTTACTGGCTTGTAAAATTAGACACAATCTTTTATTAAAAATGTGCATTGAGGCACTTATTGAGTAAGTCAATGGTATGTTCTTCAAACTAAAAATGCCAGGCAAATTCAAGGTACCTTCCAAATGGATTAGTTCTGTAGTTGAAACCAGGGAACTTGGTTTCTGTCACTGTCTCATGAGCATGGCTGCTATTTTTTTATTCTTTTATTCTCTCTCTCTTTTTTTTTTTTTGGCAAGCTGATGCAGAATTGTTGGTCTAAGCAGAAAATAGTTAGGATAAAAAGGTGATGTATCATAAAGCTAGTTACAGGTACAGTAAAGAAAAGCAGACACTAAAAAAACAAAAACACCCTCCACGCCCAGCAGAATTTTGTTCAAATTGTTATATCACTGACTGAACATTGAGTGAACAGAGCTGGCCAGGAATCATACTGCCTGCAGCTTAACAATCGGGATGTCAGTGGCTTAGCAATAGGAAGTTAGTTTTGGGAGTAGTCTTCAGTGGTTAAAATTGATTTGCATTCAATTTGGCCAACTACTGCAAAATTGCATGTCAAATATAAATGTAAAATTAGGAGCATGAGAAACGTGACGAGGGCTCTGACAGATCTTTTGGATCACTTATCAATCACCATATGTCTCTAAAAGAGAACCTACTGATGACAGTTAGTGATATGTTTTGTTATTGGTATGATATACCTAAAATTTTGGTAAACTCTCACCAAAAATTTTTATGTGCTTATCATTGCAAGGCATAAGAATTGGTGGTATCCCATACTTTACAGGAACCACCCCCCCCCCCAAAAAAAAACCCAAAAAACAGAACTACCTTTTGACTCCCTCTTTCCATGTTCCCAATGCTAACTTTTGTTTTTGCCTTGAAGCTCAAAATATTTAATCAAAATGGGAAACTAACAATAGCTTGGCTGCTGATGCTGAGGTTTGGGCAAGTAAAGGCCCAGATGTGATATTGGATTTTGTGTCTTACGAAATACGTTTCAAAGTTTCTTTCTGGTGTGGGTTTGAGTTTTTTGTTTCCATTCTAAAAGCTATCAGAACAGTATAAAATGCCCTTACTATAAGCACTGAGGATACTTACTGAATTGATAAATAATCTTGTAAACCATCACATACTGAGCATCTTTTTGGTGATGGCTTGTGATGGAAAGGATTTACTGTATCCTTGGAGAATACTTGCTTGACTATGGACTGTGTATTGAAAGAACACATTTTTATAAAAGTAACTTTTTCAGCTGATACAGGAAATGGGGGATGGAGTTGGAAGATTTAGTTGTCCAGAAACCTACAGTCTGGGGTGTCCTCCCATGCAAGGTTTTAGGTGAAATATTGAGAAGCAAGAATGAAGTGAACACTTTGTTTTAGTTTGCATGATTGTACGGACCTCATGTTACGTCTTTGCTGTAACTGAGGTATGAAGTTTACATACTGTGGGTATGTAAACTTATCTTTTCAGTTTAGTGATGACCCTGGTGTTCCCCAGAGATGGTGACTTGTCTTTGCACAGTGGCCACCAGTACTGGGAAGCTTACTGTTTCAGGCACAGCACTCGCATGAAGCTTACTGTTTCAGGCACAGCAACCCTCAGGCTGGGACTGTGCTCTGGCTGCTGAGCTTTTATACCAGAACACTGGCAAGTGCAGGGAGGTCTTATGAATTTGTTTAGAATTTGGTCTGAATATGCAGTGTGGTATCTGCATGCTATTTTCATCTAAAGCTGTGCCTAACCTAATAAGCCGCCTGATGCCTGGAGTGTTTTAGAGTGAGTAATAAGGCTACTGCTCTGGATGGAGCAAATCCAACTCAGATCCGTGCTTGAGTCCCTGGTCAGATGTTTGCAGGGTTTCCATAGTGCTTCTGGAACTTGGTTGACACAGCTGAACTAGTTTTATGTAGAGTCAGCTTGGGTCCAGCAGTGCATTGGAGGTGCCTGTATTGCTTGAAAGCAGTATTTGTTTGCTCGGCACCTGAACTAATAAATTCCACACACTTAGGTTCTGTATTTTTGAATAATCCACAACTGAGATAATAAGCCTACAGCTAAATGGGAGTTAATTGTGTGTGCTTGAAAGCAAAGGTAGCTAGAATGGTATGAAAATCTTTCAGTTTAATTGACACTTAATTTCTTTTTTTTTCATTAATGAGTTTTTTTATTAAAAAATCTTGGTAGCTGGGGGCAATTTGTTTTGAACAAGACTTGAAGTCAGTATTTGAATATATTAGACCAGCATTATCTTAACTGGAAAGTGCTTCCTCTCCTGCATCCCTTATGGCAGAAGTTACTTGTTAGGGCTATAGATGATCAAAGTTTCAGGAACAGGAAGTAATATTGTTACTTCAGTATAGTGCTCTTTATGAGGACTAAAGGTGGCACGACTGGTATAGCTCACTTGGGAGCGGGCAGAGGTAGGAATGGCTCTGTTCCGTCGTTGATATTTCAGAGGTGATACACCAGCATTGGACTTCCTTTTGAGCTATTCTGAAGGTAGAACATCTTATGACACTTAAAGCATTAAATAATCCTCCTGAGAACGACTGAGTGCCAGTCTGAGAACTGCAGTGATGCAGTTGTCCTGTGAGTCTTCCCCATGGAGTATGAGTGAGATGGCTCTGCTCAATTGTAATGTTTGTTATTCCATATACCGTGACCTAAATCTATTGACTTACTGAAGGACATGATGAACTGTGTTGTAAAATGTGTAGACTATATGGTCTCTGCTAGTTAAGTATACTCCCTCCTTCAATTCCTTAATAGCTTGGAACTAGATGCCTTAAAAGGCTACTAGATTCCTGTCAACTTGCCTTATTTCAGCATTATTTTAGCATATGATGTCATGGCAGCTTTTGGCTATATGCAAAGCAGCAAGTAGAGAAGGGCGAAAAGGATGGATCTGTAGAGAGATGGCTGGTGCTGGAGACACGTTTTGCATGTTTTTATTTCATTGTAGTTCTAGTCTGGTCCTGTGAACTTCATGCCTATTAACGATTAGAATGCATTAGGGGTGCTCCTGGGACGCATATCTCTGATTTAATTCAATTGAAAAGGTATCCAGCTTATTTTCTTTGAGAGTGCTCCACGTTGTGAACTACAGCATAGTAACTGAGTATGATTTGGAGATGTACTTACAAGTGCACTCCAGATCTTGACTATAACAACAATGTAGATGTTGACCTAAGTCAGTTGCCGTGTGATCCTCCTCCTTTAACCCTGCAGTGAACCATTTTAGGCAGATAAACATGTGGAAAGTTGGCACTAAATTTGTTTTTTCTCTTGGCCTGTTTTCCTGATCTGGCTTACCAGCAGTTTAAAGAAGTACTAATTTCAGTGCAAAGCAGGGGGAAGGGACCATGTCCCTGGGCACAGAGGAGATTGTGGTATCCCTGGCTTAAAATGCCATGGAACTACATCTTTACAGGTGTCCCTCTTTGAGCTAAAGATGAGGCTATCTTGGGAACCATCGAAAGGGAGGTAGGTGGAAATACTGTATGGGTTCGTCTGCTCAAGATCCATTCTGTTTAGGCTTGAGAACAACAGAATTGTGTATATGGCTGCAATAAAACTAAAATACCTGTGTAACTCTGTGTATATTCGTGCATGATGCCTAGAATGTTAGTTTAGTTTGAGAGACTAAACTTATTTCTTAAGATGGTTATATAAGTGAAATTAACAGTACTGTAAAGTTTGTTTCAGACGCCTAGTGACTATCTGTTATGATAAATTTGAAAAGTAAAATCTGTTTCTGTCTTAACTGCAGTTCTGGCAAAACACTTCTGAAAGCTGTACAACTTCCCAGGCTTCATATTCAAAAGTAAATGACTTTTCAGGCATGTTTTACGTCAGTTCGGATGAAGAAACATTCATGGAATACGGCATGCAATTCAAGCTCTTTGCAGGTTGATGCTAGACCCAGTCCCTCCAGGTTGGCTAAATGTTTCAGCAAGGCTGAACAACTTAAGAATTTTATGCAAAGACTTCAGTCATCCCACCGATTACTTTTCTTTTTAGGGCCATTAAATGAAGCTTTGCAAGGGATTTATTTTATGTCTAGTTTGTCTTTTGTTGGCTACTACATACTACAGAAAGGTAAAAATTCTAACAGTATTGCAATGTCTTGAACAAAGTCCCAGGAATGTGGGATTATACTCTTTACTGGACAATAGTGTCTAACATTTGGTGATTTATACTGAAGACATATAGGCATGCTGTAATTTCAATATTCTTTTGGTCTATTCCTTGATTTCCTTCCCCTCCCCCCACCCATAGAGCTCCTACAGAGCCATGGCTGTCTATTCTAGCCACCTTTAGAAAGAATCTTGAGGAACTGAAGACTGATTTATTTAAAATCAATGCAAGACAGGTGTTATGCAGTAGCAATTATTAGGAGGCCTGCCTTCTGCGTTGGCACCGAGATATTGCTGGCAGAAGAGCTTGTTGTGTTAATCTTCGAGAAGGGGAGTGTTCACCTATGCCAGTAGTCACTGAACTCTCTTAGTCAGGCTATGTTGCTGTATTGGCTAATAACACTTGCTGTTTTGTCAAGGGGGCAGTGTTGTTACGTAGGCTACTTTTCACTTTTGCCATTGGAAGCAATGTAATTAAGCCTGCAGTTGCTGAAAATACTGGCTAGCTTTGAAGGGTTGGTTTGCTTTATTAGTTAAGTCCTTATCTTACTTGAAACCAAAGGCTGGACAGAACACTGCCGTAAAGCCTTCCATAACTACCTTTCCCCAGAAGATGTCCAATTAGTACTTTTTACCTAACATCGTTGATTTAACCAATCCCCTCCCCCCCCCCCAAAAAAAAGGGGGAGGGAGAACCTCAAAAACCCAAAAACCACCCTCTGTGAAGCTCTCTAATTCCATTGAATGCTCTGTCTTAAAAACTATCCTGCCTGAAACGGAAAGCTACCACCTAAGGTAACAATCTGTCTTGATTTGGTCACAGAATCACTGAGGTTGGAAGGCACCTCTGGAGATTATCTACACCAACCCCTTTTCCAGAGCAAGGTCAACTCAAGCAGGTTGCTCAGGGTCGCATCCAGTTAGGTTGTCAATATCACCAAAGAGGGAGATTGAACAGGTTCTCCAGGCAACCTGGCATAGTGTTCAGTCCCCCCATAGTGAAAGATTCCCCCTCCCCCCCCCCAATGTTTAATTGAAATTTCCTGCGTTTCAGTTTGTGCGCTTTGTGTTTCGTCCTTTCACTTGGCACCACGGAAAAAAGTATGGCTCTGTTTTTAATACCGTTCCTGTGTGCATCCCTTCCCCCCACTTTTGCAAAATCGGGTATTTATGCACAGGCATAAGATCCCCCTGAGCCTTCTCTTCTTCAGTCTGAACAATCTCGCCTCTCTTATCCTTTCATTATATGGCAAATGCTCCAGTTTCTTAATCACTTTCATGGCCCTTTACTGGACCCACTGCAGTATGGCCGTGTCTTTCTCTCATACTGGGGAGCCCAGAGCTAGACTCAGCACTCGAGATGGGTCCCACCAGGGCTGAGCAGAGGGGAAAGATCACCCACATGGAGGAGCAGCAGAAGATAATAGTCTGAGGGGTGGACAAGCCTCGACAGTTTCTCCATAGTGTCCAAGATCTGAACCAGCAAGCAGCAAACCTCCCTGAACAACAAGTAAGGTCATTGAGGGGGACGTTCCTCCCCCGTAGGAGAGAGACTACCCCTGGCTGCTTCCTCCTGGTGCCCTTCTGTGGTTCAGGCTCAGCTGGCTCTGATGCTTTGTCTGACAGAGCTTCCAGCTCCTTATCTGCTACCAGGGTACTGAACCTAGTCCCGTGTTTCTAAATCAGTTCTATACGGTTCTTGTGGTCTCTGCTGTAAATTATTTTCCATAATATCATAATCAACCTGACTCTGATCTGGCATGTGTTCCTGCCACCCCCCCCCCACACACACCAAAGCTTTTTTCTTTCCAAAGCTTGAAGCATGTGTGGGGTGGCATCTTGCATTTATTTTTGCATTGTTACCAAAACAGTGTTGCCATTTACCTATTGGAGATCTAGGATAAAGGAATACTTTGTACACAGAATGGGAAGAGGTCTGCAATGGCCTATACTCCCTGTGAATACTGGTTCCACAGTCTGAGTCAGCATAGGAGAATGTTGTCCTCCTCCTAGATGAGCTTTGGTCCTGCTCGATGGGCAGGAAAAACTCAGTTAATCTCACAGTGTTTATGCTCAAACTTGAGCAGACTTTTTTTTTTTTTTAATGTAAGACTTGGTCACTATGGACGTTTAAGCTACAAAGTATTATTTTTGAATTGGATTTGAAATTGAAATAGGTGTGTAAAAGGCAGAGGGCAAGTAGGATAGGTGTTTCTGGTAGTTTGTGGTGTTGAAATGTTCTACTGCCTCTACTGCCTGAGACTTTGTGAATCTTGAAAGTTTTCCCCAGTTTGCTATTTATTGCAATCCAGCCTCTTGTTGACTGTTTTATTTATTTATTTTTATTTTTAAAGTATCAGGTCTTCCCTTGAGTAAAGCTTTTAAATGTCAATGTAGTGTTTGAAAAATTCAGAAGTGCTCTTGACCCATGGACTGACCTGACTACTAATTATGCTTATTATAAGGAATTGTGACTCCCTAAATATTTTCAGTCACACTGTTTTGCTTGGGTTAAAATTATGTTTGAACAGCTTTCAGAATCTCAGTTCATCTAGTTACTGGACTCTTTTTGGTAGTAGAAAAGTTTCCTGCCCATAGCACTGTAGTCTAAATGACTTGATCAGTTCATCTAATGGCTACTTGCTGATGCTGAAAAGCAGGAGTGGTAAGTGCTCCTCATGAGTATGTACTAGAAGTATATGCAGCTTCTTGCTGTTTCTATATGCCTTTTCTAGAAATAGTTTCATCCCATGTATTTATCTTGACATTTGCTATGACCTGTCCTACTTTTCAGGGAAAAGAACAGAGTTTAGGTCTGTCTTGTGTAGGTATTCATGAGAATGAGGATAGCATCGAGTATCACTGACGAATGCAATAGGAACATCGACATCTAAATTTCGAAAATAAAAAATTGGTATGCATTTGCTGCTTTGTGTCGGTGGAACGTGGAGACTCATGGTGGATGACTGGGAGGTTCTTAGGATCTTCCTGCAGTTGTTCGCATGACAGAGTATGTGCTTTATAGTCTGGGAAGCTGACTAAAATGAATGTTTTGTGTGTTTTGAGCACAAATAAAGAAATATTCCCTCAAGGAAATAAAGAGGCTTTCAAAATAACTAGTTTCATGTTGACACAGTGTGGTTGTGATTATCTGCTTCAGATTCTTCTGTGGAAAAAGGATCAGGTGTTTGGCAGTTTGGGTCATCATCAGCAATGTGTTATGCAGTTACAATGACTCCTATATTCAGATCAGTTTTCCACATTTACCTGTGTAAAACTATCCTATAACCTGTACATTGAAATCTAATATCTGCTAATATGTTTAAAAAATCTAATATCTTGAGAGAAATTTTACATTGTTACTTCTTACCTTTTTATTTATCTATAGGTTTTTGAAATGGTTAAGCTGAATTGGTTGGAAAATGACATTTTCTTATTCAGACTGTTGTTGGTAAATGGCTATTGTTGTTATGATCTGTGGCTGCCAGGCTTTCCTATCTGTTCAGGAATATTTCGTGTCGGCCACTCGGAAAAAAGCAATTCAATGCAGCAGCAAGATAAAATTACTGTGCTTGCTCCAGGCAGTAGTGGAAAAATATGATGCTTTGAAGCAAGTTTAGAGAATATATTTGATAAATGTATGCACTCCAAAAAAGTATGTGGTAGGAGTTTCAAAGTTCGTATCGTGAACAGATAACTGTGATAACTTCTGTTCATAAAGAAGAAAGGTTAAGTATTCTCTCTCTAAAATCAAAACAAAATAAAAACTTTTTATGGTAAGAAAAAGGCAAAAAGCAACTCTCCCCCAAGTTGTCATGTTTATATTTCACTGGCTCCTCTGTTAGTGGGTGTATTCAGAAAACAGCTTCCCAGAACAGATCATTCTAGCTTCTGTTGTATTCTTAGCATCATCATGTAGTTCTATTTTTTTAACAGGATTTTCAGACTTTGTGTGTAGGCAGCAAAGGGCTAAATGTTACTTTGGAAAATGCATTCAGCAGTGCTTTTGGTAAAAACTGTCTGAGGGAAGATCTATACATTTTAATGAAGTTGTAAGTTCAGTACCAGGAAAAACACTTTCTTACATTTAGTTCGGTAGTTGTGAGTTAATTGATGGTTATTATCTTGCACTGATAGAATAAGGAGTAATCTGTGAAGAAACCTCTTCAGCTGTTCAGGATATCAGTCTTTTAACGCTGTTATGCTGTGTGCGCTGTGATCTGCAGAAGAGTTGGAGGCTTCCCTGACAACTTTGTCCTGACTGGGTTTGAGTGAAAGGAAAGGTTATTTGATTACTGCAGGTTTGTGGAAATTCCTGGCATAAACAGAATTTCTTGATGAACGAGTGAGTCTTTATTGCCGAAAAAGCTTTAAATGGTCGGTAAGCAACTCTCATGGATTTCCTGTGGTGGTTATGCAACAGGTGGGCAAGTATGTAAATATATTGCCATGCTTTTCTGATTGAACTTAATTATATCCAAATTAAAGCTTGCTTGTATGTGTTTCTTCATACAAAACCAGAAGAATTTGGAAGAGGGTGCCTATTGAGTGTGTGTGCAAATTAAGTAGTTTGATATTGTCAGTCATAGACTTGTTCTGGCTATAATAATTTTCTTGGATCAAAGTTGAAAAAGTATTTTGTACTTAACTGTTTCTCTTTTGCAAACATAATAGCAGATACAAATCTGAGAACTGATAAGGCATTGTATGTATGTACATGCAGAATCTGAACCTTAATTTCTGATACCCCAAGTATGCATTAATAACAAATGCTTCTCATGTAGGCAGTGGTTCATAATGGCTAAAATCTTGGGCTGGGAGTTAACGCCCTTTTCCCCCACCCTCACCCTTTCCCAACCTCAAACGCAGCCCACAAGAAAAATCCTGGGTCGTTTTCCTAGCGTTACATTACTCTAATAGGTGAGCTTGTGCAAGTTCCTTTCTGCTAGTTTTGCCCTCTGCAGAACTGTACAACTCACAAATAAGTACTGTTAAAAGGGAAATACAGCATTTGTTCTTAGGTCTGCCTTTTTGTATATGTGTGGCTTTGAAGTTGGCTATAACCATGTGTCTGAAATAGTTTTGCTGTGTTTCTTTTCCTTCAGTGGACTATATTGTGGAATATGACTACGATGCCGTACATGACGATGAGTTAACGATTCGAGTTGGGGAAGTCATCAGGAATGTGAAAAAACTAGAAGAAGAAGGATGGTTAGAAGGGGAGCTAAAAGGCAAAAGGGGCATGTTCCCTGACAATTTTGTGAAGGTGAGTTCTGCATTGACTTGTTTTTACTGTAATCATATGGTAGTCTAGTATTGAAATGGTTAGAATTACATGTAAGTTGTATTTGTAACAAGATGAGATTTGTTATTGCGTTTTAACTAGAAAACATTTTAACTGAATGATTTTCTTTAGTATGTGTTTGAAAGGTTTTTTTATTTTTCCCTTAAGCTGTGCTGTTTATATTCACTTAACCATTTCTTTTGGTCTGTATCCTGTCTCCTTGATAGTGCTTCAGTGCGCTAGCAGTTTTCTGTAGCCTTGATGACCTTCTTTAATAATATAAAGTGATTTTTGGGGGAGAAAAATCTATGCTTATAGAAGACATCAGGTCAAAGGAGAGCTGGGAAGGTGGAGTGTCATTGTTCAGCTCTAATGAAAAGCTACATCCTCAAGCTGTAGTTATGTGGTCGCTTCAATCTGGGTTAAAGCTGTCCTCTTAGAAGGCACAATCCTGCTCTTGCTTTCCTCAGCTGCTTAGTGCTAGCACTGCCTCCTGTGTGGCCTTGCAAAGGGCCAGATCAGGGAATGGGTCCAGCTAAAAAGTAACTATGAAGTCAGGTTGGTTTTCAGCTAGTTTGATTTCCTGAACAGTCTAATCATGTGTCAGAAACCAACGTCTGAAAAGGAAAGGGTGTATGATAAATAGCCTTCTGGGCCGCTACATAATGCGTACTTCAGATTAAAGTCGTTATCTTTTTGAACATGACTTCTCTCGGATCTAGATTTGGGTCATTGCTGTGTGACTAACAATGGTTGCCTTCAACTTTGAAATGGCTCCTTAAGCCTTTTATTCAAGCTTTTATATTTATTGTTTGTGCACAGGGAGGAAGAAGGTGCCTAATTTTAAAGTTCTTCTTTGCAGCTTCCACGTTCTTCCTGTTTTGGGTTTTATAAATCTAGTCCTAAGTATGTATCTGTTTCTAGGTAGGAGGGTTAGTTACAGTGAAGAAGTTTGCAAAGAATCTAGGTATGCTGTTCCATAAAGAACTTAAGAAATTTGGTGTCTGCCTGAGCTGCCAGATACTTCTGAACTATGCAAGTGATATTGTGATATTACACTTCACTTTTACGCCTTCTAATCTTTTTGAATACCTTTCTAGGGTTCCATAGTTTAATCTACCTAAAGCACAGTTATAGAGAATTTAGATAGTTTTACTTCAAAGAGACAGGAATCCTGTTTCTTTAAAAGAGAATTATGTAGTACCTCTTACTGTGATGTTCTGATATCTTTAAACCCAAATGGAAACTTGTCCAGTGTGCTACAAACTTTTATACTTACTTACATTTAGTTTGACAATTTTTCTACTCAACTTGTTGAAAAGGCAAAAAGTTACTTACTTTTGATTTACTGCTGAGAGATTCAAATTTGTCTTTTAAAACAGTTCTGCTGGAAATAATTCAGTCATTTTGCAGTGAGGGTCTTCTACAAAAGAAGAATTTATAAGAATGCCTTTTGATTATCTAGTATTTCTAACTTGTTTACGCTTTGTAGTTTAGCTCAAAATCTGCTTGAGGTTTAGAGCCCTTTAGTAACTTAATTTTACCATAAATAATATTTTTATGCTGTCATTGATGCTGATATACTTGAATGAATGCTCAAGTGCCATCTAGGAAGAAAGTATCAAACATAGCTCTTCTTTTGTCACCAAAACATCTTTATACCGAACAGCAAAGAAGAATCAGGGTTGGCTTATTTTTGTGTTACAAACTAAATTTGTTGGATGTTTTCTTCTGCTGCTGTTGCAGGGTAATTTTCAGTCTTTGAGTTAAATCATTACCATGCTGAAAAAACTTTATATCTCAGCTCCAGATATTTTTAACTCTACCACTTTTTAGTATTTGTGAGGAGGATCAGATATTCTGAATTACAAGAGACTTGAGTTTTCTTGAAAGCTTAAGAATTTGGAGAAATGAAAAGGAGTCTTCTGGTAGAAGAAAATCTTTGGTTTATTGTTTGGTGAGCAGCAACGTGGGCTAACTTGCCTTCGTGGTACAGGACTGTAGTGCTAAATTGTGAGGTTGACTTTATGATTTTTTTTTTAATTTTTATTTAAGACTCTATAGGCATAGGTTGAATAACTTGTCTTGCAGTGATTACACTATAGAAAAACCTTAAGTGGGAAATGAAAGTCCAGATTTTCTTTGTGGCCGTTTTGGTTATGTTCTATTCTTAAAAGTTGGCTTTACAGGTTAAAAGCCTCATGTTTTGAGAGACTATCTTCAAGAAAGTTCGTGCAGGAAAGCCTTTTCTTGCCCAAGCTGCTTTTAGCAGTAGGTTGTTGATAGCAGAGTTTCAAAAATTTTGCACTATAACTGGACCACTACAAATGTTAAGCTTACAAAACTAAATTTCAGTTAAAATTCAGCTTACAGCTTAGACTTGTGCAATATTCTGTTAACTCAACTAAGGAGTCAGTGAACTGCAGTAAGGAGATGGGAATGAACTGAAGCAGAATTGTACTTTGGCCTCGTGAACACGGAAGGTCCTTTGAGAAACAGATTTACTCCTTAGCTGCCTCACCCGATAGTTATTGAAGCTCTAAAGGAGCTGGTTGCTTATGTGTCCTCTGGATTTTCTATAGAAAGCTAGTCATGGTTTTAGGGAGACTTCTGCTCAGAGTAGTAAAGCTCCTGCAAGGGGATGTATGGGTGAAAGTAATAGCAAAACAGTGAGTTGGGGATGTATGCAGCTCCAAGAAGGATGCTGAAGAGGGATAAATATTACTGACTCTTGCTGGCTCACACAGAAGGGAAAGGAAACTTGAGGTCTGGTTGATGCAGTGAATAGGAAACAACTAGGAAAAAAAAAAAAAAAGCTAGGAGGAGTGGGGAAACCTGGGATGAATTGGTCTGGGTGCCAAAATATCTTGCTATCTCTCAAGGGGGAGAGAAGATGGGATGGATCTCCCCGGTGGAAAATGTCCACACTATTTGCTCTCTCCAGTCACAAGAGGAAGAATAGCACTAGGTTTACACATTTTAACGTGAGATTCTGGGACTCTAATTTTTATGTCTTTCTACCAGGACTTTCTTATTCTCCTTTTTTGAATGTTATTTCATGCATCAGATGGAGATCTGGCCTGATCCTGTTACACAGATAAATTTTTTTTTTTTCCCTGTATTAGATATGCTGGCCTATTAAGAATTTAATTGAGGCCAGTTTATAAGCTGTCTATTGAGAATTTGGATGGTAAACTTCAATCTCTGCTGATCTGAAATGGATTAATATTTGAAGTTGAAAGTGCATGTTATCCACCAAATTTGTCTGGCCTTTTGCTGTATGAAATGTTTAAGAGTACAATTATAAGACAGATTAAACTGGGCAAAGTTGGACGCATTTTCTTTGTTTTCAAAAGTTAGATGTCTTTGGAGAAGATAAGTACCAAGTAATTCTTTAGAAGTAGTTCTTCATTTCCATCAAAATGCTGGAACACAACTGCAAAAGTGTTTGGGCGGTGGGAGCCAGCCGATAATACCAGGCTATTTAGTGGTTGCTGGTTTTATTAGTTTGTCTCATATTAATCATGTCCGATTGCAGGAAAAGATCCTGTTGCCTGGCGGCAGCTGCAAACTGTCCTTGGCTGCCAGGCAACATACGACTGCTTCTTGCCTGTCTGAAGGACAACCAAAATGTCAATAGGAGGATTATGGCTGCATGCCTCTTTGTGTCGAATGCCCCAGATTCTGACTGTATCATCACAGCTAAAGCAGATCCCAGTGCTGTTCTGTTCCCTCATTCAGGGCTTCGCTAGTACATAGGATTTATTGAATTTTTATGCCAGTCCACATCTTTAACTCTTGCATCAGACAAATGCAGCTTTTCTGTTTGAGGTGTGACTGAGTGCTGTCAATTTATTTTTGAATTAGGCTTATAGGATGGATGATGTTTTTAATTTTTCTAAATTGTAAATATTGGGGGGAAAAAAGGTCTATGAAGGCTATGTAATGATGGTGGCTGGTTCTTTGCTTTGTCAGGAAGCTGACTCTCTTTTTTCTTTTTAAGATCTGTTAAGGTTAATTTGTTGTGCAAACAGGAAAGTGAGCTAATTACTATCTTAATTTGAAGTGGACATATACAGCAGGGAATGTATGGAAGTTTCCTGAGGATGCCAGTGTGATACTGCTCCTTGGTACCTTGTAACATATGCTATTTGCAAGATTTCTCTCAATTTCCTATTTGACTTCTACCCAAACCTTTTGCTTGTTGAGGTTAACATCCTGAAGAAGGATAGGAGATAGGTGGTGCCTGGTTATTGGTGCCAGCTACGACTGGGCATTTGCTGCAGGCTTACCACTTTGACAGGTTAAAGAACAGTCTGAGGGCGCTTATGCCAAAAGACACAATTCTTGGTGCTGAATTGCTTCCGTCTTATTATGTATTAATAAGAAAGGGAACAGATAGGCCGAGCTAAGGAAAGCTAGATTTCCTATAAAGCCAGTATACTGGAATAATAATGGTGCGACAGTGTCATGTTTTTGGCAGAGTTTGACTGGGAAGTGGAAGGCATTTTAAAGGATGGGAGGGATGCTCAAAGCAGTCCTGAAAGTACAACTAAGATGTGGTGGAGAAGCTTGTAGTGACTCCATAGTCACATGTTTTTTTTTTTCTTTTCTGTAAGTTAAAGATGGGTGCAATTATAATAGCCCCTTTTGAAGCTGATTTACTTGAATTCCCCCCCCCCCCCCCCGTAGTGTGGAGTTGGATTTTAGAGTACTTTGGAAACTTTTGTCATTTTTCCGGCTTGACTTGCAGCAAAATACAACTTTTGAATTCTTTTGTTTTCTACTCCTGGTTTATACGTGTCTTGATACAGACTACATTTTTCTCTTGATGTTATATAGTTCCTCTGCAGGTGGAAGCTTTCCAATTTTATCAGAGAGTTCAGATTAAAATTCTTGTTTGGACTCTGTATATACGTGTTCTGGTGAGGATGTTATATTTGAATTGGAAGTCTTGTTCCTGACATTATTTCATTGCTCTT